TAATTGAGCCTATTCTCGATTACTATTGTCATCATATCATATGTTATGAGTTGGTGGGCTACTACTATCACCCCGTTGAGATTCTTGATTAACACGAGTCAATAGCTATGAATCCTTCGTGACTTTTCTACCTGTAATAATTGGCTATCATCACTTTTGGAGTTCGTCTCAGTACTACCCTCAGATCTAACTTGTGATTCTTCATGAATCGGTGATGCAGCCGATAATCCTACACATCCTTTGATACCTTATGAATTGGTTGGTTATTGTCACTACATCGTCGAGATGCATCGACGTTCAATTTCGTAAATCCACCTTTTGGCAGTCCCTGACTATCAATATGAAATATAAAGTACTGCTTGTCAATATTCACAAAGTTGAATCTTTCTAAGAAGTCAATTGAGTCAAGTTGGTAATCATCAGATGGACTTCCTCCCTCGTCTACATATGTATACGTTGTCAAGTAAACAGAAGTTTTGCATCATAAAATTTTGCATAGATTTGTTTTTGAGTACCTACGAAATTTTTTCTCAACTAGTTTGCAAAAACGAATTTCAGATTATGGTACTATAAAGGTTAACGTGGTAAGTATATAGATCTAGATGAACGCATTTAATCCTTCGTTTGGAAATAATTTATAAATGGTTTAGATTATAAATAAATAGAATATGTAGTCGTACCCTTTATAAATGATTTATAAATTTTGACGCTAAAAAAGTTGGATCTTTACTAGTTATCTGAAATTTTAATATCAAAATCGTTCCTAACAGTTCCTTGTCTATTCTTGTTTGTAACATAGGATAGTAAAATAATAATAACGATATAGATTGTAGTATTTTCGAGCGTGCTACAAGAAAAGCTAATTACCGTATTGAATGATGCTTTATCATGGCAATTATTGCGAGAATGAATTTCTCACATTAATGGATACACTTTGTTGACTCCAAAAATGCGCCAATAGAATCCCGACTTCGTCTTCTTCATGTAAACATCACTTGCACATTGAACATCCCTTTAGAAGGCAAAAGCCGTCGGTCGAGAAAAATGTCCGGCGATCGTTTGCACTTCGACGGTCAAATCAACAGTCGAACGAAAAATAAAGAGTGATGTTAATGGGTCGGACCCAAGTTCCAAGCCCATTCTGCAATTTTGCCCAATCAATTAATTAGTCGATATAGGATTCTCTCTGTCATGGGCATACCACGTAATTTATGGATATAATACACTTACTATTTATGAATGCATATCTACAGCTACTTTCATCTTCAATTTAATAGATTATCCTGGGAACATCTTTTTTGGTTTTTAAGTCTTTTGGGGATCCTTTCTTTTTCATCATGTTTTTGTGTTTTGTACAGAGATCCTTTCTATTGTGCATAAATAGGTCCACGAACGTCTTTTCTTTGCTAATGATTTGATTATTTTACTTTGA